AAAAAAAAATAAAAATAAAATATGCACATTTTAAACTTTAACATGGTAATTATGTGTCTAAGAAACTAGTTTAAGGAAATAAAAATGCCAACAAAAGATATCTATTTCAGCTATATTTAAAACAGTAAATAAATACCCAATATTAGAATGATTAAATGAATAATGATATAGCTATATGAGTATTACTAAAATATTTTTCAAGAATATTTTATGAGAGCATAAGTCAGTCAGAAAAAGACAAATACCACATAATCTCACTCATATGTGGAATTTAAGAAACAAAACACATGAGCAAAGGAAAAAAAGAGACAAACCAAGAAACAGACTCTTAACTATAGCGAACACAATGATGGTCACCAGAAGGGGGTGAGGGATGGGTGAACTAGGTGATGGGAATTAAGGAGTGCGCCTGTCGTGATGAGCACTGGGTGATGTATAAAGTTGCTGAATCACTCTATTGCACACCTGAAACTAATATAATACCGTATATTAACTATACTAGAATTAAAATTTAAAACTTAATTTTAAAAGGAAGAGTATTTTGGGGCTCCTGGGTGGCTCAGTCGGTTAAGCGTCCAACTTTGGCTCAGGTCATGATCTCACAGTTTGTGAGTTCGAGCCCCGCATCAGGCTCTGTGCTCACAGCTTACAGCCTGGAGCCTGCTTCAAATACTGTGTCTCCCTCTCTCTCTGCTACTCCACCGCTCATGCTCTGTCTCTCTCCTTCAAAAATAAATAAAAACATTTAAAAAAATATTTTTGAAAAGGAAGAGTATTTTATGAAAAGAAATCATTGCTATAATGTCGAGAGGAAAACCAATGAAAGAAAATAATCCAAACTAAATGCACAGAAAACACAGTAAAGGAAAATGTAACATAATATTAATAATCAGAGGTGGTATTTATTTCTTGGCTTTGCTTTTCTATGCCTTCCTAGGTTTTTTATATTGACTATGACATATTTTGTAATCAGAAAAATATCCTAATAAATAAATACATCAGAATCTTATTTCAACTTCTATTTATAGATTTTTAAATTTCAACGCAGAATTTCAGCCTTGCTGGTCTCATAAGCACTGGCAACTTGAATGATAAAGTACTTAAGCTTCACAAGTATTTTTGGATCAACAATTTCATATTTCCATAAACGTCTGATAAACTTAGTCAATATTTCCCCAGAGGACAGTGATAATAAAAGCATATAATTTAGTCTAAACAAAATTATCTTTTATTTAACAATTCAACAAATATGCACCAAGCACAGGACATACAAATAAAATGACAGGATACTCTTGGGATGCTATGGATACATTTCAGGGGCTTGTTCTCTTCTGATGACCTTCCAGAAGATATAGGGCCCCAAGGCACAGCATTTGTCTTGTATCAGAATATACTGTGTGTCCACAAAAGAAGTTTCTACTGCTGTCTGAAGCAGGTGATTCTGCAATCTACAACTGCTAACCCCCCTACCACCAGAGAGATTGAAGGGTCAGGGATGCAGACAAATAAAATTAAGAGAACTCTGTTAACAGAAATTAGTATTTCTGTAAATCTTCCTTCCATTCATATTATATAAATACACACACAATATTCTTTTTCTCAGTGACTAGAGGGGCCAAAAACAGCAGTTTTCTAAGCCCAATAACTGAGGTGCAGACTTTCTGATCTTTATACCAGCAGAGAATATGTTAATACCTCCAATATCAAAGAAGGAAACTGGAGTTTTAAATCATGAAGTAAGTTGACCAGGATCACCAGCTAACCAGCAAGGAGATAAAACTCAAGCCTAGGTCAGTTTACCCCCTTAAGTCGGTGCTTCTTCCCTTACAGAACATGTGACACTCAAGCAAATGGATAGGAGAGAGGTAACCACTTCCAAGGAGCAACAGACAAGAACGGGAGGCAGAAATAAGCAAGATTTCCTGAGGTCCCCACTCCCGGTCGGCTAGAATAGGGGCAGGGGGACATGGCTTGTGCCAGATGGCCCATCTCCTGCATTTCCAAGACGGAAGGATGGCCCTGTTCAAAGGTCAAGACTGGTTGCACCTGATGCTCCTCTCCCTGGCTCCACACTCCCTTCCAACTTGATGATCTCCCCTTGACCCCTGGGACCGCTGAAATATTTGTGGTGGCCATGGGCTCTGAGTACACCCCAGTTTTAAATCTGCCTATGAATAAGAAAAATTCCTCCTGTCCTGTTCTTTCTCTTACTCAATATAGTTCCTCTCCCTTCAAGAAGTGCCTTTCGGTGACATCCTGGATTTCCTATAATCTGATCTGAACTCCTGCTATCAAGAGCTCCGCAGAGCTCGCTCCCATAACCTGCCCTATTTGCTGGCTCTCTTGTACCAACAAAATGCCCCCTCAACAACAGGTGGCAAAAGATATATTAACCTTTAGTTAATCTAAAGATACAATTAATACTGCACTGAACACATGACCTCTGTCTCCCCACCCATAATCACCCAGACTTTCTTTTTTTCAAAAGAAGTGATGGTATTGGCCTAAAGGGAACATGGTCTTCCAAATGCCCAGTTGGGAATGATGACGTGGAAAATAACGAGGGAGGAGTCTTGAACTCCAGAGATAGATTTCACATCCAAGTTTACTAATCAGTAGAAGGTGAAATATTTTGAAAAGACTTCTTTGGTAAAAGCATGCAGGATGAACTGAAGAGGATAGACACAAGTGTCCAATGTCAAATCTGTCCATTTCGTGCTAGAATGTTAAACTGAGCATGGCAAGAAATCTCAAGGGAAAAACAGGCAGAACTCTTACTTAACTGTACATGGTATAAAATAAAGAGAAAACCCAAAGAGGGGAGATCTGACACCAACATGTTTAAGTTTGTCATATCAGCTTATTATGGGATGAATGAACTACATTAAGGAGTTCCTCAAGATAAAACCCAAGAAAGTTAAAAATTAGCGTGCTGAAATAAATAAGCAAACACGCAATAAGTATGTTCCTAAAATTTAGGGCTAAGATAGAAATTGTTTTAGAACACTGGGTCCTGCCATGCAAAGAGATGTTTCCATTCTATCCAATGCTTTCCATAATGGTCACCGAAAAATAATTTTAGAACTTTCCAAAGAGAGCTACCAGGATATTTAGGTATAAAAAATTAAGAAACAGAACCTTCTGATTACTGAAGAATGACAGTTAAAAAACACACAGAGAGAGATGCAGAAGTCACTTTGCAGCTAAGTTAGCTGAAGCCCCAAACGTACATGCTCGTGTTTATGCTAACAGCACCATACAATCACATATATATGTTCTATTATCAAAATCACTTTCTACTGTGTGGTAAGTTAAAATTCACGGATATACCTTATTTTCTCTTTCTGTTTTCTTTTTTGTTTTTTAGGTTTCTACCTCGCTAAAGAACGTTTCTGCTGAGCTTTCTACTCTTCATTCACTCCAATTAAACTGCAGTGATTCACCAGTTATTACCACCACAGGCATACACGTGTTGAAGAGAAGATCATGATTATAATCTGCACAATTACCGACGGCTAGATAGCATGCCTACACACGGTGTTTTGAAAAACAGCTTCATTTCCGATGGAGATCAGGACAGCAATAAAAGAGTTCCACAGTCTCTTCACTAAATACATCTTTGTTTGCATGGTCTGTGTATACTGTCATGGGGCAGGTGCGGGAAAATGTAAAATATGAATATTTAAAATCCAACTGAGCTGCTGTGAAGTCAATGACAAAGAAAAATACAAACATGGGGGCTTCATGCATACGGCTAAATACATAAATAACTATGAAATCACCAAAACAAAGCAACACATCCATAGTTCTTACTGGTGCTTATTATAATTCAACAGCAATATATTTTCATTAATCCTGAGCCATCTGAAAAATATGTCAAGCAACACTTAACTTCATTGAGTCTGAAGCCCCAAATAAAGTTACCAATAGTGAGCAACATCATTAGATGTGCTTTGTATTTAAGAAGAAATCGTTCATTAGACTTGGTTTGTATTTAAGAAGAAATGGTTATCCAGCTCTCTTCACCCCACACAGTCACTTGAATCCTCCTTAGTCTTCATGCAGCCAGGCTGACGAGCAGCAGGACACAGTAGGGGTGAGCAGAATTCAGCTGCCCAAAGGAAAGTCAAAGGACAAACTGATTTTGTTAAAGGTCTTTTTTTTTTTTTTTTAAGGCTACCCAGAGGTGGAATCCTGGGTGATGTCAGTCCAACTTATCTGACAAAACTTAAAACTGTATCTACTTGGATGAAAGTCAATGAGCTAACCACCTTTGCATCTTCCACTTGAGAAGTTACGACTCTTAAGAAGGACATAAAAATAGTTTTTTAACCAAATTATAGTCCTTTAGCTACAAACCCAAATAATCAGCAATTCACAAGGAAAGTGAAGAGAAAGCAAAAGACGGAGGCATTCTGGCTACTAGAAGAAACAAAGAGCAGACTTCAGAAAAGCCAAACAATAAAGCATATTTCCATATCTGAAAATATGCTGAACCAAATAACCCAAAGAGCCCTCCTGAAACACCTATTTTAGGGGCGCCTGGGTGGCGCAGTCGGTTAAGCGTCTGACTTCAGCCAGGTCACGATCTCGCGGTCCGTGAGTTCGAGCCCCGCGTCGGGCTCTGGGCTGATGGCTCAGAGCCTGGAGCCTGTTTCCGATTCTGTGTCTCCCTCTCTCTCTGCCCCTCCCCTGTTCAAGCTCTGTCTCTCTCTGTCCCAAAAATAAATAAACGTTGAAAAAAAAAATTTTTTTTAAATGCATCACTACATTACTTGTATTCTTATTTGGGGGTAAAAACACATAAAAGATATTTAGGGACAACAGGGGAATGTGAATACAGATTAGGTAGTAGATAAATATTAGAGAACTCTTACTCATGTGATACAGTAGAGTCGTTCTATAGCAGAATGTTCTTTTGACAAGATACACAGCAAAACATCCAGGGTAAGTTTCATGATACCTGCAACTGACTTCCAAATGGCTCAAGAAACACACACACATACACACACACACACACACACACACACGCGCGCGCGCACACACACATGCACACAGCTGATATGGCAAAAAAAATTAATAATTAGCGACTTTAGGTGATATCCTTCCTGTCTTATCCTTTTACCTTTTCTTCATGATTGAAAGTTTTTACAATAAAAGATGAAGAAAGGGGCCCCTGGGTGGCTCAGTCAGTTAAGTGTCTGACTTCGGCTCAGGTCACGATCTCACGGTTCGTGGGTTCGAACCAGGCATCAGGCTCTGTGCTGAACGCTTGCTCAGAGTCTGGAGCCTGCTTCAGATTCTGTGTCTCCTTCTCTCTCTGCCCCTCCTCCACTCGCACTCTGTCTCAGTCTGTCTCTCAAAAATAAATAAATGTAAAACATAAAAAAGTGTTTTAAAGATGAAGAAAAGTTAAGGCATTTAAGAAGGTCTATTTAAAAACAGAAATTTGAAAAATAAAATAAAATTCATCATTGAGATGATAAAAAAAAGAAAAGTATCCTTAGATAATTACACTGAAGCAAAAGCAATAAACCTGAGAGGTTAGGTAACTTCTCCAGCTAGCTTTCTCCCTGGATAAATCTGGCTAAGCCAGGGAACCCTGAACTTGCACCTGAGAGCCACCTGGGCCACACCCAGAGTGGGAACTCTAAAACCAGACTCCTGAACAGACCTGGGCTCCAGAGGATGACACCCTTAGAACAAATTATAACAAACCCATTCCACATTAGGAGCAGTAGGGAAACTGCCAGTCTAGACCTAAGCACTAGATAGAGTGGGATACTTTTTTCTAAAGAACTTATAACCATAACTTGGCAATTGGCCAAGCCTGCACCCTAAATTAACATGATCCTTCTGGTCCAAGAAGCCTCAAGCACAAAAATTAACCTTCGAGGGATCTAGGGCTGTTAAAGCCCTCGTTAGCCTCCAGAAGAAGGGCAAATTCATTCTGGATGAATACACTTCCAATACAAACTTCAACAAATTTCAAAAGAGCCTGAGCTTATGGTTTAAACACACACACACACACACACACACACACACACACACAAGCGCGCGCACACACACACACACACACACACACACACACACACACAAAACAAGGAAACAAAGGCTTATGAGAAAGTCTCAGCAGAAATACTACATAGCTGAATTAAAAAGATCTCATAATTTGGATTGTCAGAATTTAAAGTAAGTGTTTAATATGTTTAAAGATACAAGAAATGGAAAATATGAGAAAGGATAAAAAATGTTGTAATGTCTAAGCCAAAAAAACTTCCAGAACTGAAAAATAACAGTTACAATTTAAAATGCTAATTTGAAAATTGGCAATAATCCTTAAATCCTACAATGTCAAACGTTGGTGAAGATTTGAAACACTGCACACTCTGATACACAGATGGTTCGGTATAAATGTATACAGTCCCTTTGGAAAAGGATTTGATGTTATCTAGAGAAGCTGTGAAAAGCAAACTTATGACCCAACAATTCCATCACAAGTTATACATCCTACAAAAACTCCTGCATACATTCAACAGAGGTAGGTTCATGAATGTTATGGCAATGAAGTAACAGTTAAAAGGAAAGCAAATTATACTATGATACATTTACATAATAGAAAACTATACAGCAGCGAAACTGAATGAGCTACAGCTACATTCATCATGGATAAATTTCAGAATACTAAACTAAAAAAAGGAAGAAAAGGAAGTAGAAAAACAACAAGTAGAATCTGACTTCACTTATTTTTTTCAATGTTTATTTATTTGAGAGAAAGCACGTGTTCAAAGGGGAGAGGGGCAGAGAAAGGGGGAGAGACGCAGAGCTTGATCCCATGAACCGGAGATCATGACCTGAGCTGAAATCAAGAGTCGGATGTTTAACTGATTGAGCCTCCTAGGCGTCCCTATATGTTTTTAACTTTGTTTAAATGAACTCAGATTGGAGCACCATAATGAAAAAAATTATTTAACAAAATCAGAAAACAACAAAATGCTTCAGTATCCTAGCCAAAAGCATAAAGTTATTACACTCCATAGCAAAAAAAAAAAAAAAAAAAGCCTTAGAAAAAAGAAAACCAGTTGACATTCAGGATGATCACAGCAAAACATCCATGTGCTTCAAGAATATGTAAGATACTGCAGTGAGTAAAAGACCAATTTTCTCAAGGAGACAGCCATCCCAAGAGCATCAACAGCCGTCCACGAATGCCTGGGAGGCAAGCCTGTCTGCAGTAGAAGCTGGCTTACGCCAGCTAATCAGTGACTTTTCTTCTCCCACTATGTCTGTTCATCCAATTCCAGCTCTAATGATACCTTGTAAGTGCAATTTGGGGCATCTGTTATGTTCTTCTAAACCCAGCCTTAACTTTATATGGTGAAAATCTTAAATTTTCCCCAACTGACACCACCTCTTTCCACATCTATTGACTAGGATATGACTTGTATTCTGGGTTGTACTGTCTCATCATAATTCACGTTAGAGCCAAATCTGCTATTTTGACTGTGATGTTTTGGCTAGAAGCTGAACAGATGGATAGTTTTTCTCTGGTATGAATATTTGCCAACAATTGGAAGGGTGTAAAACTTATTCTCAAAGAAACCCAAACATAACCACAAGGAGTCTAACAAATAATTAAAATATCCACCGTTACAGACAAGGCTCCACAGAAACACAATGCGTATTCAGAAATCTTGATATGAAATGACAGTTAATTAAAAGAACTTAGGTAATGTTGCTGAAGTAATGCTATTAATGATCATAATAGAACCTGGAATTATACAGGTATTGTGTTCATATTCATCTGGTTCTTACAGTTCTGTGAAATAGATATTGAGGTATTATTACCCTGACTCTATACGGACAAGGAATAAAGCATGGGAGGAACCCGTGTTACCCTAGAAAATGGACTTATCTCAGAAAACAGACCTGCAGGGGGAGCTTGTCTGTGCCTCGTCAGCTGTGTACCTCTGAGCAAACAACTTAATTTCTAAGAGCCTCCACCTTATTTGTAAACAGGCCGAGGAACACCTAGTGAGAATTATGTAAGATTTATAGAAGTTCCTAACAAGAGCACCTGTCCCAGAGTAGGTTCTTAAAAACTATATCCTTCCTTAAATAATAACTCGATAAAGAAGTCCCAGTTGACAAGAAAAATTCAAACTTTTCATCTTTACTCCCTTCAAACAGAGTCAGAGGTGACTGAGACTTAGGGCAAGAGAAAAGGCCACACCTGAAACATCAGTATAAACTGGAGGTAGCCAGCAGCTCCACACTCTACAGTCCCACTTCCGTGGCTTCTCACAGACATCCTGAGGACTGGACAGAGTCTAATGAGTGGGTCATTAAGTAGTCGGAAAAGACAGAACTGCCCTAGCAGTAATGCTCATGAGTCATTTGATACTAAAGCACATATCCTCTAATATTGTTATCTGACACCTAAGGCAAGCGTACATTCTCTACACAGTGCGGCAGTCACGCTGTGTCAATCCAAACAGCCCTCGACATCCATTCACAGATTCCCACTTTCTGTTAGGGGTGACCTGTGACTGATAGATACCCCCTGGAGCTTCAAGCAGATGCCCTTTGGCCCAACTCCTGTGGCTCCTGGGGGGAGGGGGGGTGGGCAGCAGGGGTCTCACCAGGAACAACCATCTACCTTAGCC